TGATCTTTTTGGTCTAGATATGTTAGACAAACTTGGAATAATGGATGTACCAATTAACAGTGTCTGTAACGTATCGCGTTCATCATTGGACACCCCAGTACTTCCAAAGAAGACAGGTGATAGGTTACTAGGAAAACCGAAAAGAAAGATACGTACAAATTTCGATGTCATCCGTCCTACGCCAGCCATTGAACCCCAACGAAACCTATCGATGGAGAATCAGTTTAACCGACATCATGGGGCACAAAGACGATTGTTCACGGTGGGACAAAAAGTGCTTGCTATGGACTATCGTGGGAAACATCCTACATGGACAGCTGGTCGGATCTTGAAAAAGAAGGGGAGTGTGGTTTATGAGGTGTCAGTTGGCTCAGAAGTTTGGGTACGTCATGCTAACCAATTGAAAGCAACTTCGATAGCCAGCAACAAGATTCAATATCGACTACCTCTTGATGTTCTGCTAGACACCTTTGAAATCAAAACGCCGGGAATAGATACATCAGTTTCTGTGCAAGAAAAGAGTGATACTTCTCTATTGCCTAGACGATGGACTAATCGAAAGCACAGGCCAGTCACTCGGTTGCAGTTGGACCCTAGCACCAGATCCTACGAATCTGCTCAGAGGGGAGGTGTTAGCGGGACATAGACTAGATTAAAGCATGCTCAATGCATGATTGCTTTGGTGCACGCTGATTGGCTAATTCTTATCCAATCAGCACTAGTCGATAGTTGGAGAATATTCTGGAATCTTCTTGTGTAAAAACTATAAATATACTGACGTTTTTCCCTATTGTGCTTCTGACTTGCTATTTGGAATATAATCTCTTTCCTGTTCAACCGTGTTCTGATTTGGGGACTTGTCGAGTGAATCGGTGTCCAAGAATACTAAGCAATAGGAATAGCTGGGTCATTAACCGTAAGAAGAAAGAGACTATAACAGCTACCTGTTCCTGCCATCTAGATATTTCAACAAGTTATCTATTTTTGTTTGTTTTAATATATCATTATGTTTATTAATCGCATGAACTCCACCTGGAGTCCCTCCAGGGGCTACTGCCGGTCCCAAGCCCGGATAAAGGAGGAGGGTTGGGCATGGGGTTAGAGTCCCCATCCCGTAGAAAACTAACTCGCTAAAAAAACGCTAACCAGAAAAAATTATTCAAACCTTTTAAACTCTGCCCTGGGAGTCAGAAGGTCTTCATTTAGAAGAATTATGACGCCTCATGATGAAAGCCGAATTCCTTCGGAAGTTACGAGGCCGATGCCCCTTCTGACAACCAGAGCGACCATTTATTTAGGTACATGGAATGTTCGTACAATATGAGACACCGGAAGAGCTGCAGAAATGAGAAGATACAACCTAGATGTACTTGGGATCAGTGAAACACATTGGACACAAGTTGGACAACAACGACTAACTACAGGAGAGCTCCTGTTATACTCCGGCCATGAAGAAGAAAATGCACCACATACACAAGGAGTTGCATTGATGCTGTCCAAACAAGCGCAAAATGCACTTATAGGATGGGAATCTCATGGACCAAGGATCGTCAAAGCCTCCTTCAAAACAAAGAAAGAGGGCATTTCAATGAACATCATCCAATGCTATGCGCCTACCAACGATTACAATGAAGAGGCTAAAGATCAATTCTACAATAGGCTGCAGTCAATCGTCGAGAAGTGCCCAACAAAAGACCTGACCATTCTGATGGGAGATTTCAATGCCAAGGTTGGAACGGACAACACTGGATATGAAGACATCATGGGACGACACGGACTGGGAGAAAGAAACGAAAATGGTGAGAGATTTGCAAATCTATGTGCCTTCAATAAGCTGGTCATAGGCGGCACCATATTCCCACATAAACGCATACACAAAACCACACGGACTTCACCGGATCACTCTACACAAAACCAAATAGACCATATTTGCATCAACAAAACGTTCAGGAGGACTATAGAGGACGTGAGAACCAAGAGAGGAGCTGATATAGCATCAGATCATCACTTACTGGTCGCCAAGATGAAATTGAAACTCAAGAAGCACTGCACAACGGGGCGGACAATATCACAAAAGTTCAATACGGCCTTTCTTCAGGATACTAACAAACTCAACGAATTCAAGATAGTCCTCAGCAACAAGTTCCAGGCGTTTCATGATCTACTCAATGGAGAAGGAACTACTGTGGAGAGCAACTGGAAGGGGATCAAAGAGGCAATCACTTCAACATGTCATGAGGTCCTGGGTCACAAGAAGCACCACCACAAGGAATGGATCACTGTTGATAAACTGGATAAGATTCAAGAAAGAAGAAACAAGAAGGCAGCGATCAATACCAGCCGAACAAGAGCAGAAAAAGCCAAGGCACAAGCTGAATACACGGAAATAAACAAACAAGTGAAAAGGAGCATCAGAACCGACAAACGTAAATATGTGGAAGATTTAGCAACGACGGCGGAAAAGGCTTCAAGAGAAGGAAACATGAGACAATTGTATGACACGACAAAGAAACTCTCTGGAAATCGCCGCAAACCAGAACGACCAGTGAAAAGCAAGGAAGGCAAGGTAATCACCAACATTGAAGAGCAACAAAACAGGTGGGTAGAACACTTCAAAGAACTCTTGAATCGACCAGCTCCACTGAACCCACCCAACATCGAAGCAGCACCCACGGACCTCCCAATCAATGTTGGCCCACCAACAATTGAAGAAATCATCATGGCCATCAGACAAACCAAGAGTGGCAAAGCAGCAGGACCGGACAACATCACAGCAGAGGCACTAAAAGCAGACGTAGCGGCAACTGCAAGGATACTCCACATTCTCTTCAATAAGATTTGGGATGAGGAACAAGTACCAACAGACTGGAAAGAAGGACTTCTAATCAAAATACCGAAGAAAGGCGATCTCAGCAAGTGTGATAACTACAGGGGCATCACTCTTCTCTCAATACCGGGAAAAGTCTTCAACAGGGTATTGTTAAACAGGATGAAGGACTGCGTAGACGCCCAACTTCGTGACCAACAGGCAGGATTCCGTAAGGATAGATCGTGTACAGACCAAATCGCAACTCTACGGATCATTGTGGAACAATCAATTGAATGGGATTCATCACTCTACATCAACTTCATTGACTACGAAAAGGCATTTGACAGTGTGGACAGAACAACACTATGGAAACTTCTTCGACACTACGGCGTGCCTCAGAAGATAGTCAATATCATACAGAACTCATATGATGGATTACACTGCAAAATTGTGCATGGAGGACAGTTGACAACGTCGTTCGAAGTGAAGACCGGTGTTAGGCAAGGTTGCTTACTCTCACCCTTTCTCTTTCTCCTGGTGATCGACTGGATCATGAAGACGTCAACGTCTGAAGGGAAGCGCGGGATACAATGGACATCTAAGATGCAGTTGGATGATCTAGACTTCGCAGACGATCTAGCCCTTCTATCCCAAACGCAACAACAGATGCAGGAGAAGACAAACAGTGTGGCAGCAGCCTCAGCACCAATAGGTCTCAATATACACAAAGGAAAAAGCAGGATTCTCCGATACAACACAGCATGCACCAATCCAATCACAATTGACGGAGAAGATTTGGAAGATGTAAAAACCTTTACATATTTGGGCAGCATCATTGATGAACAGGGTGGATCTGATGCAGATGTGAAGGCGCGCATCGGCAAAGCAAGAACAGCATATTTACAACTGAAGAACATCTGGAGCTCAAAGCAACTGTCAACCAACACCAAGGTCAGGATTTTCAATACAAATGTCAAGACAGTTCTACTGTATGGGGCAGAAACCTGGAAAACTACAAAAGCCATCATCCAGAAAATACAGGTGTTTATTAACAGTTGTCTACGCAAAATACTTCAGATCCATTGGCCGGACACTATTAGTAACAACGTACTGTGGGAAAGAACAAACCAGATCTCAGTGGAGGAAGAAATCAGGAAGAAGCGCTGGAAGTGGATAGGACACACATTGAGGAAAGCACCCAACTGCGTCACAAGACAAGCCCTCACATGGAATCCTGAAGATCAAAGGAAAAGAGGAAGACCAAAGAACACATTACGCCGAGAATTGGAGATAGACATGAGAAAAATGAACAAGAATTGGATGGAACTAGAAAAGAAGGCCCAGGACAGAGTGGTTTGGAGAATGCTGGTCAGCGGCCTATGCTCCATTGGGAGTAACAGGCGTAAAGTAATTAATCGCATGACCTATTCTGCCGCATTTCTGAAAAGTGTACAACCTTTCGTTGTAAAAGTTACAAAAAACTCAATAAGAGACAATGTGGTTGCTGGCAATATACAGTGAAAAGAATGCACATTATTCAGATGTCCATTTACTGAACTGCTAACATCTAACTGGCGATCACCCAATATTAATCGCCAGGACCGACCAAGAAGAAAGAAACCGAAGCTTGTTGAAATACTTTACGCTGAGAATTCTATATTGTACCAAAAATATAATATTGAATAAAGCTGACGACAATAATAATAATAATAATAATAATAATAATAATAATAATAATAATAATAATAATATATTCAGCCGTCAAATAAGAAACAGGACGATAAGAGTTGGAAGTTACGACGTCACGATGATTGACCAAGCGCCTACATCTCAGTTCTCGTTAGAACTAACAGTATAAACATCCATGTACAATCTACAAAATAATTTATTTTTCCCGGTTATTTACTAATACGAACTAATTTAAGTAAATTACTAATAGACCACATTGTGAATAGACAGTGCGAAAACTACCGTTAGATAAGTTATTACATAAATTTGTATGCACTACTGTTCCTTAGCGATCACCATTCTTTGTTATTGTAGTTCCCGTTGCCAAAATAAATAATACAGAAAACAATAAGATTCAACACGTAAAAATTTAACATAGTATCTTTTATAACCTTTCTAGCGAAGACTCCATTACAATATGTTATCGTAATATGTAAAAGAATTAATGATACATTGAACTTACAATAAGAACATGTCCTGCATAAGTGGATATAGGCGATTCTGCAGCTTTGGCATTTACATTTGCAAAGACATCATAATTCTTACAAATTAGCTTCCCCATCGGTAGCAAATCACTAGACCCTATGATTGGGAAAGGATCTTGACAAGAAACGTTGGTATGCTTCACCCTTGTTTCTACAAGACGAGAACACAGATCCAGAAGGAAGTCATGTGTCCGACTTGCCATCTATAACCATTATAGGAAGTAAAATACAAATAATCACACTTAGTGGAGCCTATACAACCAAAAACAAGTTCAAACTAGTGAAATCATTCGATAATTAACAATTTGAAAATAAATAATAACATTTTTACTCCAACTAACTTTAAAATTACCACATCTATTCAGTAAAAATAAGTTGCATTAGATTCGTTGATAATAAATCTCAGATAAACTAAAAGTTCGACTGTATGGAGAATACTATGATATAAAGACAATATGATGTATAACAAAGATCTTAAACGAAATAACAGTATCATTAGAGATTAGATAGTCACAACCTTTGGCATCTATTTCCATATAACCAAAACTCAAACAAATGGATGACCAACCAAGAAACACTTGGTTTCAGAATAAAATATAAAAATAATATGTTTAGAATGTTGCCAAATATCCCATTGTTGTATAAGTGGTTGCAACTGCAGGTCTAGCAATATCAATACCGTACAGTATTGATAATTTATTGATTTCTGAATAATTAATAACTAAATATAAGTTTATGTATGAGAACCCGATTTACATATATCGTGTGAAGGATCACCCAAGTAAAAATAGACAGAGGTTCGATTCTGCAAACAAACATTAAGTTTAACCCAGCAACTAACTGCAGTTTCGCATCGTGCAATCGGAAAGGGAATACAATACCGATTGCTACGAAGTTAGGCAAAAGATGTTAGTTTAAGAGACATCCAAAATAATTAGAAGTAAAAACCTCTTTCATATTTGGCCTCAGTTTACCAAGTAGTTGTTGCTCACCAACATTTGGTGATAATATTTCGAAGTTTTCACTCAGTCAGCTAAAACGTAGGACCAGACACATATATGCATCAGTTCAAGTTGCCACACCTCATTAGCACAGCAAGATGAACACCGAATTCATAAAGTAGTTACTTCAATAGTAGTAATATGTAAAAGATTGTGTATAAGGATATAATCCAGGAAGAAAGAATCAGTTCATAGAAAGAAAAGTATAAAGCAATTTTAATCTCAAATCTAAGGGAAGACAAAGAGTGTATACATCTATGCCGTTGTGACCGATTCTGGTTCATGTCACCCAGAGTCCCCAACAGTAGTAAGCATTGCGCGCCGTGGTAATCGGTGTTCAGACATACATAACAACGTGACCCAACCAACTCAGTCGATGAAGATTTACAACCTCACCAACTGATTTACATCATTCAGGTTTTCACTAAGACATCCAAAAACCACTACATTGCAAAAATTATAAATTTTTGACAATGGTGATTACAAATAAAAGTGTTACGCTTTGTTTATTGTATTTTTGCTTATCCTTGAAGTAATGTAAGCAAATTTATGACGTACACCAAAGGTAGGATATAAGGTCTTCATTTAGAAAAATAAGTCCAAACAGATTACATTTCATTCAGTAAGCAAAAAGTACTGGAAATATAACTGTGATATCACCTCCACAGATAACAAAACACGTATAACTGTTTAAACAATACTTTAAAAAATCAATAACCTCATGAGTACATTCTCCACCAATGTTGCGCCAGCCATCACATTCAAATCCAGTCTTGAAATTTGTTTCTGTGAATTGCTGAACTTCAGATCTTGGGCGACCAGTAAGAGATCCGAAGTTCTGTCGTACCAATCAGTTAATAAAGTGAATCTAAACATACTCTTTCACGTATTCGTGATTCCAGTTCAATAACGGACGGGTCGGTTATTTCATATGCCGTCTAAGAAAATACACACAAATTTAAATGCAAGTATCAATGAAATACTATAACACTACATAATATACACGTCGCCAGCACCACTACCAAATTTACTACAGAGTTAACAGCAATATTTGACTTCATCGTCCTATTGATTTAATTTCAACTGGATCAATCATAAAACTTCTACGTCCACAAGTATAACACATGTACATAATAAGTTACCAAATATTGGAAAAAACAAATAGGAAATCTACCATCAATGCACGGAACACTTTGAATTAAGAATGCATTAAAACTCTGACAACGATACTACTTTCAACTGTCAAGCTACATGCTTAGGACCTGATTTAACAACTTTGCCTTGAGAATTGGGGTAGCATTACTCTTTCTCACACTAAGGTTTCCGCAATTTAAAATCTTAAGGTAGTTGTTTTACTGAGTATTTACCTTTACAAGGTGTTTCTGTACCCATGATTCGATTTAAAATCTACATACAAAATAATGGTTGGGTGAATTACATCATATAGATAGCCGACCAATCATAACTGACACGCATTAGTCACCTCATTCTAAAAGCAGCTACTTCTCAGTACAATTTTTTACAATGTTCATATCGAAAAACTGGTCCAAGTAAATTATGATTCACGAAGGCTGATTCATAACGCAGTTTGTGGGCTAGTTCCTTACCACAAAATGAAGATAATTGTCCTTATTGATTGGGTAAAATAAGGAAGTAAATCTTAACTATGCCTTATTTTGATTTTGCTATATAAAACAAGTTGAGCAAGAATAAAATCCTTTCAGTCTTATTTTATTATTACACAGTTTGAGTATAAGAATCATTCATTGATAACACTAAACTGTAAGTATAAAAACTAAAGTAACTGACTCATCACGATTCCTGTTGACCAATAACAGACTTATGACTATTTACTGAGAACGTAAACAGGTATACTTCTCGCCTTGAAAAATATGTTTGTTCTGAAGAAAACTTTCATGACAAAAACCCGAAATCATAAAAATGTAAAATTTGCCCAAGTGGTTCAAATGGTATTGGATGAAATTGAAGCTCTCGCTTAACGGGTTTTCGTATCTAGTAGCAATGGATCAGTCTTCAGTAATAAGGATAGTAGGTTGGTGAACCTGTGTTAATCCTGACAGATTGCCTTTCAGTGAAGGTCCAGCTTCTCCTTGAAAATATTTACTGATGGGGCTGATACCACTTGTTCGGGTAAGGCGTTCCAGTCACTGACTACTCGATGAAAACAACGGGACCTTACTTTAAGTTTATTAGATCGTGGTTTGTGAACCTTCTTGCTATGACCTCGGAGATTATTAGTGCTGGAGGGAGCAAAAAGATAAGATATATTAACACCCAAATCATAACTACGAAATGCCAGTACAAGGTCACCTCGCGTTCTACGATACGACAAGGGGAAAAGGTTTAGGCGTTTTAAACGCTCATCGTAAGGGAGTTTAGAAGGACCCTTCACTAATTTCGTTCCCACACGCTGGGCACGCTCAAGGGAGTTAGTATCCTTTACCAGAAATGGGCTAGCTGCTTGGATACAGTACTCTAAATGTGGTCTTACATAGGTGGGATATAAAATTCGAAACATTACCGACGCCTTTAAGTAGTAGCTTAGATATATTTAACGATAGCTCCCAAATGCCCTAGTACGGCCAAGAGTGGGGAGAGTCTGCTCTCCCTCTCGAAATGCTCTCACATGGCCACGCGTATATAGCCTCTGCCAGGGAAGTCCTACTCACTGCCTTCTCGTGGAGGGGTGTTGTTTACTAAATTGAGAGGACGAAAAGCGAATGTCCGGCGCTTTAACCGGATTCCAAACCAATGGCGCACATGGGCTCCAATATCCTGAGGGAACAAATGCCGTATGAATCAACCGTTGGTCACCGGCTACCATGGGACTACATCTCACGATGCCCCACTGCCTTGTGGGTCAGACCTTCAGGTCAAAGGCTCGGGGTGTGGCCCCCTAAGTAAGCCACCTGCTTTGGTCTGGGCACCCTGGCAGTATCACAGCCCTCACACATATCAAATGAAATCTGTGTAGCGCATATATATTTGGTGCCTTCTTGTACCAATGTCTATGTGTTAAAATATGTTTAGAAAATAAATGAGAAATATCAGTGAAGTATAGTGAAATACTGTTCTGCGTTCTTAAGAATATGTCAAGTTTCCTCTTGAAGGAATCCCGGGAAGTCGCTTGAACCACTTCAGCCCACAGAGCGTTCCAGAATCTGACTGCTTATAAGGAACAGGTATACCTACAGTCCACTATGTTGTTGTGCCTCGAATCTCCGAGTGTCACTACAAAGATTTTTATTGAGACTGAGCTTAGGTAGGTGTTTTAGGGGGTGACCAGGAGTGATTATGATGCCAGAAGTCATTTGGAAGTCAGTGACCTCCTCTTTATTTACGCTTTCGTTCCCTTTCCTCGCCCTTATTTCCCCTTTATTGGTTGCTTAGGGCCTCTGAGACACTATACTAAGCATGTAGTAAGCAGCTAATGTGGGGTTTTTGGATGCTTCGTGAAACCAACATCTGCATTTGTCACACTGCATACCACAGGTGACAGCGAGACGGCATCCAGTGATCTTATAAGATCATTAAGTGATCGTGGTGAAATATAAGTTTTTAAATAAATTTCGGTAAAAGTTAACAATCGTGAAAAAATCTCTATTAAGATAATCAAACTAGAGAAATTGTCTTGGCTATTTAAGGTAGTCAAAACAAAAATAACAAGTTCACCAAATCAGAATTTTTGTTGTCTCAGGAAAATCAGTAACTTACATATCTAGCTCTTTTTAGATCACTTGAAATAATAATATCTGGTTTGCTTTGGTTAATGAGGGTCCGAATATCCCTAGCTTGTTCCAGCCCAATTGCTGATAGATCGGTATCCAAGTGACCTAAAACGTCAAAATCTAAACTAAAAATAAAAGTAACCTTGAATCACTTGATTTTTATTTTCAGCTGTTTCTCCACTGCAAGATATTTCATTATCAGACTGATTCTTACTGTCTTAATAGCGTCAAGTAGAAATATAGGATTTCACGTTTCATATTTTAGAAGGAAAGATAATTTGTAAACACAGTGAACCCATAAATCGTAGGTTTGAAGGTTTGGTACTACAAATTATCTCACTACCAGTTTCTGACAAAATATCTACCAACAACATATAACACGAAAAATTATTAGGAAAATTAAATAGGCATGGGGGATGTGTCAGTAAAAGTTACGAAACAAAACAGTTATTTGTACATAAGCACAAATATTTTTAAGCAAACATGTACATAGAAATTACCATCATACTGACCGCGCCATTTGAAAAGAATAGTTGTAACGGGTTAAAATCATCATGTATGGTGTTATTAATCGGTTCTGTTTTCTTTCTATTGCAGGGCAACCAAGAATAAATGCTTCAGAAGAAGAGCAAGCTTTACATGCACTGGACCTACAGGATGACTCATAAGACTGTTTTGTAAACTAGCTCTCCCTTCTGTACATAACCCGCGAATTTTCAATTTTCAAATAAACGATTGGTGGCTTCATTCCGTGTTCTCTCTCTCGGTGTGAAGTGCTCGGTTAGCATGGTGTGTTGTGCTTTCAGGACTTCCCCGCCTGTCACTGACTCCTGATTTTACGTGTTACGACTGGTAATGGAGTTGTCTACGAAAAAACGCTACGAAAATTTAGATGAACCCCCTGTGATCCCAATCAAGGCTGCACCTGATTCAACCAATCGCCAACCACCACTGCTCGAGACTTCATCAAATTGCTCTGTTTGGAAATTTAAAGTCACAGCGTATCTACAGAGAGTTCCAGCGGCCGAACATTTCAGCTACCTGGTATCCTATTTGAGTGATGCAGCAGTACGAAAGGCTACAGCCAATGGTTTCGCGGCAAGTAACACGCTTCCACAAAATTGGAGAACCTTGGATGACTGTTTTTCCGTGCCCGTGGACACTCAACAGGTGACGATCCAGTTCTTATCACGTCACCAAAAAGCAAGCGAGAAACCAATCGACTGCCTTAATTCCTTGCAGCAAATTGCGGTGCAGGCATTCCCTCGTTTAGGTGTCATAGGACGAGAGGAATTAGTACGTTCACTTTCTGTCGAAGGGCTGGTGCCGGGTACACTAAGAGAACATTTTCTTCGAAGCCCACTAATCGATACACCTGACTTAAAAAGAACAACACTCCACTTCCTGGCTGCAGACAAACTAGTGAATCTATCAGATGCACATCAACCATCAGTGATGACTAAGGAACGAGCCACAGTATCAACTGATGGTTACGGCAAAGCTCAGATATTCTCAAATTACTTCAACAATGTATATACCGTAGAGACGCCCTTCCCTCAGTTCATACAAGCCCCCCACACATACACTGGACACTGCGACCTTTAAATGACCTGATGTCTTAGATCTGTTAAATATGCCTGATATAGGCAAACCCACGGGACCTGATGAAATGCATCTTAGGTTACTAAAGGAACTAGCTAACTTCATTGCGAACCCCTTAAGTATATGTTCTAATCTATCCGTAACCCAGGGTCGATTACCAAAAGACTGGAAGAACGTCATAGTAATTCCTATCTTCAAAACAGACACGAAACATAAAAACCTGAGGACTACCGACCCAATAACTTAATCAGTATGGTTGTTAGAAGTCTGAGAAAGATTATTCACGTGTGGTAACGCTGTTCTCAACATCTACTGCAATTGCTAGCCAGATTAGATCAGAGAATTCCGAAATATTGGTTATCGCCAAATATACTCTTCCGATCTCCTCGACTCTGTCTTTTGATTTCTCTTGGTGGATACAAATTATATTAGGTGTTGCAGGTAAAAGCGTTGTCAAACACTGAATACCTGTGTCACCATTATTGGTGAGACCAACGTGATCTGGTACACCGAACTGCAACTGTGAATTTGCTCCTTTTTGGGAATTTTTTATATATTACTGCCTTATTTTTCATTTTTTATACATTGTGATTTTTTCCCCAGTGTTTCAGGACATCTATATATTTTTCCCTTGTATTCACGTACTTAATATTCCCCCATGACTGAACAGACTCCTAAAGTATCTAAGATTAAGACCATGTCCCCACGCTCGTTCCAACTCATGCCCTTCTGGCCCGACAATATCGAAGCCTGGTTTTTCTACGCAGAAGCCGACTCCCACGAGCACGGCGTGAACGACACATGTGCACAATTCATCGCAGTAGTCAAGGCACTACCGCGGGAATTCAATAGGTACGTAACACGTAGTATGTTTACTAGTGATGTTTCTGAACCTTACGGAACCTTAAAACGTTCGATTCTTAAACGAAGAGACCTAACCGATCGACAAAGGTTAGATCAACTCTTTAATAACATAGACCTGCAGCACGGTTCTACGACGAACATGTTGCAAAGGATGAGAGGGGTTATAGGCCTAAGAACTTTCGACGAATGCCTATCCAACCAACTTTTCTTGTCTAAACTTCCCCAACAGGTGCAAGCGGTCCTGGTCTCGTTTCAGAACAACGCCTGAGACGAACTGGCTGCATCTGCCGATCGTATCTTAGAGATTACGAAATCTACTACCGAGGTTTTTTCAGTCAAAGGAAAGCCTCAAACGTCTCAGAACGACATAACGGAGTTATGTCATACACTCACGCGTTATCTTAATCTTCGTAACGACCGTAAGCGCTCACACACCCCACGTAGAAGCACTTCGCGTAAGTGATCTGTCTCTAGACCACGAGAGACAGATAACCCCGACTGGTGCTAGTATCCTAACCAGTATGGAAAGTCTTCCAGGCATTGCAGTAAACCCTGCAATTTTCCAAACACAAAACCGAACGACTCGAAAACCAACTCGGGAGACTTCCAAGCCGGCACGCGTTATCGGCAACCGTAGCCGGCGAACATAGCCATCTGTTATACGTCACAGATGTGACAACGAGAGTTCGCTACCTCGTCGACACTGGCGCAGAAGTTAGCGTTCTCCCAGCGAATCCCAACGACCGGCTTCACGAATCGGCTCTAAACTTACAGGTATTCGCAATGCAGTGAAATCTGACATTGGATACACTGCGGTTCAAATCGTTTATGGAACGACACTTTGACTTCCAGGAGAATTCGTGGGTTCTTCATCCTCTTCAATGAACATGCATCTAACCTACTACACGAACAGGCTTACAAACGCAATGCGTTCAGTTAAACCTGCTTCCACTCGACCACAATCAACTGATGTTTTCGTTCAACTTGACTTACGATATAGTACACACATTTTCGTTCGTCGAGACTCACATCGACGACCATTCGAATCAGCATACTAGGGACCTTTCAAAGTCCTTCAACGTGAATCTAAGTACTATATGGTCGATAAGAACGGAACAAACGATAGCATCAGCATCGATCGCTTAAAAACAGCATATTTAGAAGGAAATCCTATTCACGTCGACTTTCCTTCGGTACAATCGCACAACACGACTCCTACACTGATAATTCCTCAACCGACAACCAACACTGACGATGATACTCCGAATGTATCTGAAAATAAACTTAAGACGACGAGTTCTGGAAGAGTAAGATTTCCAGAACATTTAAACGATTACTGCACATAAGGCACTACTCGACATTTTATATTATCTCGATCTTTCTTTTTACAATTTATAATATTAAAAAAAACAATTTTAATATGCTTGTATATTGATATTTTTATTTCAAAAAAACAAAAAAACATTATAAATTTTTTCAACGCTATTACGTGTGCTTGAGTTTATTTTCCTTTTTTCGCCGACATTGTGTTTTTACGCGCATACGAGTGTATTTCGACATGCACTTACATTTTCTTTTCTTTTCCAGGACGGCTGGAAAAGAACGATGAAGTTTACGAGGAGTCGAAATTTTCATTGTAATTTTTTCTTTTTTACTATGTTGTACCTCGGTCACATATAGTAAGGAAAGACGACCAGACGCTGCTAAACCTAGCAAGCTATCAGAAGAGTGTTTACCAACGACAAACTCGTTGGGTTTAAACTTCTGGCTGGCCACGTCTTGGGGTCATCACTACCCCACTAGGGGGGGGTGATCTGTAGCGGTAAATAAATCCTCAAAATAAATAGCTCTGTTAGTTTTCGACATTGGATGCTGACCATATGTTTTGGTGGACTCATCTAGCTGAAGGCGCTCGGTCATGAATCCGCATCAGATCACGTGTGGTAACGCTGTGCTAGCCAGATTAGATCAGAAAATTCCGAAATATTGGTTATCGCCAAATATACTCTTCCGATCTCCTCGACTCTGTCTTTTGATTTCTCTTGGTGGATACAAATTATATTAGAAGGTGTTGCAGGTAAAAGCGTTGTCAAACACTGAATACCTGTGTCATCATCAATAAAATACAAATATTACCATCTCAGATGGAATCAAAAATACTAATAAAATGTTCAACTGAACGAATCAATAAGAACAAATTGCAAGTGCATATGTGTAGGGCTTTTGTACACACAAAACCTTCAAAATGGATCTTATACCTACATTTCCAATCATTTATTCTCCGGCTCGACTGAAACAGATCATTAAGGCAAGATTGGAGGTCCCAGTTTTTCGATGCGCTACATAATTATTGTTCATCCTACTTGTATTTGACGTATGAAATTGCGGTCATAATCGTCCAAACTTATTAAGTCACAAGAAGTGTATTTACCACCGAAGGACCGTTGGGTTTAAACTTCCGTCTATTCACGTTTTAGGTTTCTCGTGACCCTGTCAGGGGGAGAGTGAGCTGTAGCAAAAAGCGAATCCACAAGCCTGTGTCAGTCTTTCTGGTTGATGCTGATTTTCTTGGTTTTACTAGATACCATCTAAGGGTGCTTGATCAAGCTACCTGATCAAATCACGTTTACATACATCGTAGAATACCTTCCATAGCTATAAGGCCTAGACACTATAAGCCACCATATCTCTGGCTAAAATTCATATACATCCTCTTTTTCATCAACCTCAACTTCTGGCTTTACTAGCCTTGAGATCAGTTCATTAGGAGAAATCTTTACCGTAATACTGTCAAATCATACGTGTCCAATACCTCTTCATGCATCGCTCGCATTCCACAGATTCACAAACTTATACGACAAAAGCTGCATAAGTCTTTGTTGTTCTGATCTCAGCGAACAAAAAACACACAGAATAACCAAAAATCTCATTGATATTATTTCGAGAAATATCCAAGCCCTGTTTATCGTCTGGAAAATTTATGATAATATTTATCAGAAATCTTCAGGTTTTTAAAGACTGTTTAGTTCTGAAAACCTTTGGGAAAGGAACGAGTAATCGGTGACCTAAGTTGGGACTTGAACCTTGTTTTTATGCAGATATTGAAACTTACCCAGGAAAAGCCGTCCAATCATAGTAGGAAGGTTCAAAAACCGCGATCCCATAAATTTAGAGTAGGGTTCCATTTCTTCTCACAAGACGTCCTTTCTAGGAGTTTCATATGCAAATGCTCGTAGTCTAAGTAGTAAATTC